TGTATCCTCCACACATGAGTGACAAATAATCATTCATTGCGAAAAAGCTTTTTTGAGCAAAGTAACAAAAAATAATCAGTTGAGACAACGGGCGGACAGATGGTTGATGAATCTGGTTTTATGTAACATTATTAGGTGAGGTATGAATTGGAACTAGGACAAGTCGTATTGCGTTGAAAAAGAAATAAATAAAATCAATAAAACGAAAGAGGCTTAAAAGCAACTTAGTATTGTAGCAAAGTTAAGGAAACCAGCCTTACTTTAATAGTTAAGCTCAACAGTCGCTTTAGGCCCAATTCTGCTCACGCCTGAAGCATTTGTCAAGAAAGATTTCGCTTGCATGAACTGCTTCAAAAGCACTTCAAAGTGTTAAGCAACATTAAATGTTTTGCTTGAATGAAGTTAATCTTATTTCTAAACAAAAAGCTGGACATGTTGATACTGTTATTAGCTTTCTGCGAGCAGTGATGCTCAACAAAAAACTTACAGCACAAATGCCTTTTCTCAGCTTACACTTTTAGTACAACAGCATTCATTTGCAGAGTTGAGCTTACTTTAAATTCATTTTTTTCTTGTTGCAGCATTCTCCACAAACTTGGCATTAATTTCCAGGACATGAGTTCCTGTTTATCCACAAGTGATGACATTAATATTATTATTATTTGTGCCTGCCTATCGGCCTGTCACTTCACCACTTCCGTTTCCTTGTTCGATTTGTCGTAAAACTCCCATTACGTGCGTGGCATATCAATCAAATTACTCCACAAAATCCCTAGTTGGGTAACTTATACATTATTTAATCGCTCTGAGTGAATTAAAATGAAAATTCTCTGTATTTTTTGGACGCCTGCTCCATCCACATACTTTAATGCGCACTGTGTGCATGCCGCAAGCAAATTAATTTTATAAACACTCAAACAAACCGCAGGCTGGGTCCAAGTAGGGTATACAACAAGAGAGATGGGAGACAGGGATGAGGGATGTCACAATTCCCAAGCAAGTGGCACGAAGCAAAAAGGAAAAAAAACATTACAAAAGAATCAAATTTTAAATAGTGAATTAAATTTTGTTGAATAACCTCGAAGGGGCCGCAACCAAAAATAACGAATGCCATACAGAATTGGACCAAATTTCGTTCAGAAACGCTACGTGGACATTTATCGCCTTGTCCCCTGTTATCCATGTGCAAACTAAAGTTAATATTTTGAATAATGCCGCATAATTTGAACGCTTAAGCGACTCGGGCTACTTCAAATTGATGTGCACAAATATTTCAGCGACTGCTGCGACAACAACAACAATATCCACAACAACAATGAGTAGTTTCCACCATTCAAGTTTTCTGTTTCTAAAGCATCCTGAGCTACGCCGGGAAAATTGCTCATCATTTTTCTTGTCACGCCATCCAAATTACGGGCCAGCTTTCATAAGTAAAGGAATGTCAAAAGATATGAAGTGAAAGTCCTATTCTAAACGCCTTTCATATTTTCTCTTGTCAAGAATTAAAGCTCAGTTGTTTTAAGACAACTATGACGCCTAAGGTCGGAATGATAATGTTTTCAACATCTGATGTAATAATTACCTTGAGATTCAGTGATGACTGCCAGTTGAAATTTGAGCTAAAATAATTTTTAGTTGACTACACAAAGGAGCACCAAATTGAGTTCATCTCGTAATTAATTTATGTTCGCTTGCTGAAGCCTTTTTGTTTGTTTTGTTTGTTGACAAACGCAACAAATATTTGTCCAGGTGTTGTCCAAAAAATACAGAGACATTTCCCAATTGTTAACTCAAGTTTAAATGACCAACAGATCGTTTTGGAGTACATTTTTTTTAATAAGGAAAGATTAGATTTTTATGACTAGTAATTTGTTTATTAAATTCTTGTTTTAATTATTTCATTTTATGTTATTTTTATAACATTTCGGTCGGTTGGTTTCAGTTACTGCGTAGGCTGTGTTGTTTACACACATATTTTTGGCTTCCCCATGTGCCTCATTATGTAATTTAAATCTATGGTAATATATGCAACAATTAAAAAAACATTAGTTTACACGTTATTTTTGTCTGCGTTGTCTACATCAGGCGGGCCTCATGCATTTTAAGTGAAATTTTGCAACTCATTAAATTTCATTTCGCCGCCTTTGTGTTAATGTGTCTGTGTGTTGAATGTTTTCATGCCCTGCTGTACTTAGCATTTTTAATATTTAAATACCCTTGCAGGCACTTGTTATAATTATTTTGTTGTGTACTCATAATTTAAAAATAAAGAGAAATGAAGGCCGAGTGTGACTTTAGCATGATTTCAGCGCTTGGTAATACCATTAAGTGATGATGTCACAAAGCTAAAACAGTGTTGCTTGTACTCAAACCCAACCAAAAGACGAACCCTCTGTAAGTCCATGGTTATCAACTCGTCCTTTATGTGTATATTTAATTGCAGTGCCTTTGGTTTTGTTTTTGTTGTTGCTGCCTGGCTAATTACCAACTCATTTATTTTGGCATTGCGTCTGTTTGCTATATATAACTCGCAGGCGATTCATTAAAAAGAACATTATACGACACGTTCTCAGGTTGTGCATGTCCTGTCTGCATGTGTCTTGTGCCTAAGGGGACTCGCCCAGTTATCTCCTACAACCAAAACCAAACAGTTTGTTTATGCTGGCCACTAATTGAGGCAACTTAAACTTGCCCACTCAGGCCAAGAGGCACAGCTAAGCAAAATTAGATGAACTGCCTATTAAGGCAGTAACTAAGCTCAGCCGAGCGAGCTGACAAGCAAGAAGAGGCGCACACTGGTACAGCACCACGGAAACCTGTAATGAAATCCAAGACACAAGACGAGACTAACAGATATAATCTACCAAATAATTTTACTTTTACATGCTATTTATTTTTATTGTATTTTCAATTTAGTTTTATTAATTAATAAGGTTTTAAGGTTGCCATCTGTTTATCTTAGTTTAAAATATTTGATTAGTAATACACGAAGAAATTATTGTATTTGTTAAATATTAGAAGTGCACTTTTATTTCATCATTTTAGTCGCTTTGTTAAACAATTCTTAAGCTACATTTTGTTTTCCTTTACTGAGCTCAATGATTTATTTATTGCTCAGGCGCCCCACATGCCAACTTGCTAAATATTTTATTGCTGTATATATATATAGATTTTTTTGTATTGTCAAAAAGAACTTTGTCAACTACAGAAACAAAACAAAAAAAAACAAGGCAAACAAATGTGTGTTGCTCATAATAAAAACTGTAAAAGAGCAAACAACATAACAAAACAATAAAAAAGAACTTTTGGGAAAAGTACTGCCATTAAAATTAATTACACAAACATCAATGTGCCGCTGGCAATTAATGTTCCACCAAACAGATGTGGCTCTGCTCCATTTAGACAGACCACAACAAAGCTTAAAGCAATTCAAAACCGACTCTCACAGAAATTTCTCTACCATCACCCCAGCAACTCACAATCCAAGTTGACAATAATGAATACTTAATAAAGTGGCATTAAAGGTAGTTGCCTGTTTCCATTTGCCGCGCCGGGCCGGGCCTTGTGCAGTTTTTGTACGCCGACAAAAAGACGGAGAACAGTTGAAGGCTCAAGGCAAAAGTTTACCTTTTGTTTTAGGTCACAGCTCTGGTTGTTGTCGGCCAGAAATTTCATTTCAATTATCAACAGCAATGTGGGTAGTGCCCTTGGGCCGTCTTAATTTGAGTTGCGAGCTGTCATTAAAGATTCTAGCAAAAATGTTGGACTGCCTTATTTATAATGAATATTTAAAATATATTTTACGCTTCATAGTTATGGCACCAGTGCTGTAATTAATTGAGGAGTGCTCTGTTAATATTTTTCGCAATATGTTGATGTCTCAAAATACATACCAAAAATGTGTCTATTGTTTTTTGTGTTCACTGGAATTTGTTTATTATATTTTAGTAATTCTCAGAAATTTCATTGAAAAATATACTCAAAGCCGACATACAATGATTACCAAAATGGCTGAGCTGCAAATTAATTAAAAGTGCGTTTTTAAAATGGTATAAAACAAGCGCTTGGTAAAAACAAATAAATAAAGCAAAAAATTTCCAAGTACCTGTGCATACTTTATATACAATTAAAAACTGGAATGCAATCAAAATAACGCTGATAACAACTCTTCAAGTTGTTCTCAAAATCAGTTTATTCATTTTATAAGCGACATCCACAGTATCAGTATTAGCTCTTTGGACAAAACAAATGTAAATAAATAAATAATACTGTTGGATATAGTTTCAAGTTGCGAATCGATTTTTCTGTTTTAATATACAGTGACAAAATGAAAATAAACTGAATTTAACTAATGAAATAATAAATGTAAATAAAATTGTAATAAGCTTACCATACGTAACACAATTCTATTATGAATGCGAGGAAATAAATAATAGGAGTGTCCGCACCTGTGGCCCTGAATAAGCTGCAACAAGTAGCTAATGCTAATTGCAACTGGAGGGTGCTAACCATCGCCAACTGTGGGCGTGTCTGCGATTATTTATTCTAATTTTTTTTAATTTTAGTATGCCATAGCATGACCATCATGTCAAGGTCACCAGACACGCCGAGTGTCTTTCCAAATGATGCAGCCCTCTGCCCACGGCTGCATATCAGATACTTATGCAGACATAATAACAACGGTACATTTGTCAGGCTGCCTTGCCACAAGCATTGCTAGGAGCAACAGCACATTTGACTCTAAGGCGCTTTATTTGCTGCCAAGTTGGCGACATAAGTAGACAGACAAAGTGGCATAAGCTGCTTGAACAATATTCACACACTAAAATATAAATAGTGGATACATTTTTTACAGTCATATGCAAGTGGGCTGCCAAAATTAATGCAACTCAATTTATGTGTCTAATAAACTGTATATTGTACAGATTTAATATTTGCATATTCCAAAGTGTTTTACATATTTTATTAAATTTGTGTTGTCTTTGTTTTCTTTTTTGCAGGTTTTTGAAACGCATTTCTAGGCGCAGTTGTTGATCGCCGAGGAAGGCGATGAGGACGAGGCAAGCAACCATGTGTCAGGGAATGCGACATAAACTACTACGCTGGGAGTGCAAGCTTATATAGAGTTTGTGGGAATGTGGGAGTGAAAGTACGAAGAAAGTATGCTGATAAATGCCAAATAAAGTGACAACGATGAGAAAATTGCCACGCAGGGATATAGGCAGCAACTGAGCCCCCAAGCAATTGGCTGAACCAGCTTCTCAAATCGTTGATATCAAATTTTCTAAGTGTGCGTATGAGTGTGTGCATGAGTGTGTGTATTAGTGTATGTATGAGTGTTTGTGTGTGTGTGTCTGTATGTGTGTGTGTGTGTATTTCTAAGTGGGTGTGACTATGCCGCATCTATGAAGGCCACCTGACGGGCCCTAAAGGCGTTGTCAACCAATTCTATACATATTTTTACGTTCGCAGCAATTGCTGCGCCATTTCGCATATTTACGCACCCCTTGCAGGGAGTCAAGTGAATCCATTAAAAAAATGCTGGAGCACTGTTGTCCTGAGCGTCACTTCCATTTCAAATTTGCGTATAAGTGTCACAGCATTTTTTGTACGCTATTGTCGTTGGAATTAAATTTCGTGTGCCAATTTTTTGTTCAATTGTGCAGAAATTTGTCAAGGCAGACACATTTCGCTTTCCATAGAAAACAACAAAACCACAACAATAGGTAAATGGTGGCAAAGCAAAAGTAAAAAGATGGAAGCTGAAAACCTAAAGAAAATAATTTATCCAACTTATAAACACACAAGACGCAACAGAAATGAACAATGCCAAAACCAAACAAAATAAGCCTAAGTTGACATTGATGGGATTTGTTAAGGTCACAGCAAATCGGGCAAAATATGTTTCGACCCAATGACAGCGAGTAGAAGTATAGGGGAACAAGTCCTGACTTCCATGTTTGACGAAGCTACTCACTGGCATTCAATTGAAATATACCTGATGGGTTGAGCGGGACTTTTGAAGGATAAAGAGTGACAAGTTGTATGCTGGGGTAAATCATACATATTTTAGGATAAGGAAATACTTGCTCAATTTATTGGTTTGATTGAGCCTTAAGTAAGGAAGAGTTTTCGTATTCATTTCCAACAATATTTTCTCTTTTAAAAGACATTTCTTGACAAAATTGATATATTCTAAAATCTATAGACTTTAACACACACACACACACATACACACAATTTGGCATATGAATCTGAAAGTATGCGAAAAGCAATGCAAGTGAAATTACGTAGATTAAATAGTTTGCTAGTGGTGTTTTTGATGTGTGTTTCAGTAGAATTTAAGTATGTGAACTTAAATAACGATTTGAATGTTATCAAAGTTGTATAAATAAAAATAGATTTTTAAGCTACTTGTAAGCAAACAGCGCGAAGTGCTTAAAAAGTGTTTTGACCCTGCAAATATAATTAAGCTTCAAACTAAATGGAAAATTCTAGATTTACGTAAAGTTTTGGCTAAGTGCATACAATGCTGTTTACAAAATGTTTTTGACGTTGAATAGAATGAATAAAGAGAGAACCAAAAGTACGCAAAGTTGTGTTGAGCATGAGCCCCTCTTTTGAAAGTTTATGTCAGGCGATGTTGGAGACGATGACACACCATTATTCTGTTTAACTATTTGGCTATATTACAAGCTTATGCAGTCCTGGATATTAAGCTTTCAAAAAAATGTCAGCGACTTTTGTGTACTTTTGGTTTGTCATGTGTAAAAAGTTTCACCGCGTATACGTAATATCTGTTAGTTGGTAGAAAAGAAATGGGGAAACTCCGCATAATAACATATTCAATGGTTTTTTTTGTGGTTAACATGAATATGAATTGAAATATGAATATAACAATACTCATAAGCAAAAGCTGTGTGGATGAACAAAATGCAATTTAAAATTGTACTTTTATTTGTCACTTATGCAAGGGTTTCAGCTGAATTGAAACGGAACTAAACAACAAAATATATTAAATTTGTATTTAAAATTCGAAAGAGTTTTAAACACAAAGAGCAAAATGAAGGAGAAATATAATACGTATTGATACACTATAATTATATAGAAATCTAAAGGGCACTGAAAGTTGAGTAGAAAATGATATGTAGTTGAAAAGTAATTTTTTAAGTATATTGATTAGAAATAAGTTTTGAATCCAGTCGAACTCAATTTAAGACAAATTTGGAAATTTATATAACGAATACTAAAAAATGCAACTAATTTAAGAAATACAAAATACATATGTCAAGTACTTATGTGTGCATCTAAAGTAAACTCTTTGTGAAAGACTCATAAGTAAAAAGTCTCAGACAAAATTAACAAATATTCAAATAGGTGTTTAAAAGTGCAAATTAATAACAAAAAAACATATATAAGTCAAATCTAACAATATGTTTTTAAGAAATATTTATGTAATTGCAAAAGTTAAAACAATTTTAGGCAAATACAATGTAAAATTTTAAAACAACAGATAAACAAATATTTACAAAATATGAAATAAATGTATACAAATGAGAACAAACTTAAATAACTAAATGTGCTAAATATTTGACATACATAAATGTTTTTAAATTAAAGTCGCGTGCAACAGGTATAACTAAAAGTAAAATGAAAGTGAAATCATAAATCAATTGGAAAAAATTGACATGTGTTGAGATTATTTGTATCAATGATGGAGATAATTGGATCATTGCCGTTGGAGCAGAGTATTAAAATTGATTCGACTATTAATAAAATCCAACTTAAACTCATATATTTTAATTTTTTGCAATATGCAGAATGCGTTTTAAAATTAAAACCATATGAAATAAACAATGAGTGTTAAAGCAAAAGAACAAACAAATCTGTGTATTTTTTGGGTCATGTTTTAATTGTTGTTTACTGTCTGCTTTAAATTAATTGTTTATTTATATTTTTCTAAATTTATTTATTAAGGCACAGTCCGCAAAGCATTAGCTAACCGTTTATTAAGCTGTATTAATTAAGTAAATGGTCTTTCATATGCAAACCTTCATATGCAATTCGCAAATCTATTCTTTACTTTTGCTGCACTGCGTCCGTCCCTCTTATGGATGGCTTGAGGGTGCCACACTTGTCAATTGTTGCGTGTCGGAGCGAGCGCTTTGTCTGGCGTGAGTTGATGTTGTTACCGCATGGTAACCTTGTCATGTTGCCACTTTGAAGAGCAAACAAATAAATGGCATAGCATAGAACAAATGTGCAGACAAGCGATTTGTCACTTGATAATTTACGGGCAAATAAACTGGGTTGGCTGCATCCATGGGAACAATTTGAAGAGCTCCAAGAGCAACAGCAACAACAAGAACATCGAGAACCACAACAGAAACAAGCAACAACAACAGGCAACAAGTTACTTTGCCTATGCTCAAGGTGTGCCACTTATTTTTCGTTCAATTAAAATGTTGTCAAGCACGAAGTTTTGACAAGGCTGAACACGAAGCGTATGAGCAACGCCCGAAATGGGCAAAGTTTTTGCCAAGTCGACAAGGAAGAAAGTTTGTCATTACATGACACACAAGTAAGTGAATAAACTTTGTCAACGCTTATTAAATAATTAGGAATTAATTCTCAATTCTGGCACTGTACTTTTTAAGTAAGATCCATATAAGAGATTGTAAGATATTTAATAATATCAACTGGTATTCTTGTAGATACGAGTATGACTTAATACGGGATCTTGGACAAGAGAAAAATGAACAAAACTTTTTTCAGAATAATATTTACGGGCCTCTTTAGTTATTTGATTTATTGTTTGAATATTTTAAGACTAGCATAGTTTATCTCAGCAAACAAATGAATAATATATCAGATTTGTGAAAAGAAAAACTTGAAACAGTCTTTTTAAAACTTTTCTAAGCTTAAATATATCACTGACAAATTTAATGTAAGAGTACACCCATCACAATAGCATCGTCTTACATGCTGATCCTGCAAAGGTCCTTTTACTTGTTGGTTTTGCCTCTTTTGTTATTCATGGCATGCTAATGAGGCATTTTTATGAGCACCCAGTCAAGGCAACCACAAGCGCTGCTTGCTCGCGATTTATGTGGTTTAAGGTGGTTCTGCTCAGAGGGTTACTTATACTAAATTTAGTCCATCTGTAAAAATAGCTAGAAAATACGAAATTGATTTATTTGCAGCTGTTTACATTACTAAGACATCGGTAAAGGGTAATTTCTAGTCGAGATTATACGTCTAGACTTGAAAGACTTCTTTTTTATTGTCATTGTAAATTGGTAATTCACTTTTTTTGGTCAATGACTTGCATATGTGTTTATTACCGCTTGAATATTTTTTCCATCAATTTTTGTTCAATGTAGAATGTTGCAGAAGCCCAAGCATAATTGTATTTAAGACAGGTGAAGAGAGCAATAAGTAACGCTATAAATAAAAGGAATTTTCTGGGCATAACCAAGTTGCGTCTGGCATCGACAATCAGATGGACGCGATTGGCTATTGACCGTTGTGGACCAATGCGGGCGAATTGATTGCAATGCAATGCCAGTCTTATTTTATTTGTTATGCGACTGAATTGGGGGACAAAGGCTTGACGAATACCGACACTTACCTGGGACACTTTGCTGACAACCCGGCCGTGAAAGCAGCTGCACAGGCACAGGTCAATCAATTATTTATGCAATTTGGCAAATGGACAGTGCATTGCCCATAGCGTAAAGGATTTAACTTCTTCTGAGAAGGCAATAAAGAAAAGAAACCAAGTTTAGATGCATTTGATAACCTGTTTGAAATACATTTAGTTGCAATTTATGGACAGCACTGTTGAATTGACGGTCCAGTTTAAGTTTACAGTTTAGTTAATTTTCTTAGCCTGCAATTTGAACATCTTACATATATTGACTTAACATGTAAAGGGTATCATCTTGCCACGAATAAATTTAATATTTTCAAGTAATTGAGTGTATTTACTATACAATTATTGGCTGATGGTCCTAGGGATAGCGTTGATTACTGCATAATTTACTGATATGCCTCGCGGTTATGCTGAATACTATTGGACTATCATGCATATAATGTTTGTTTGCCAAAATGCTAACGGCGACCACAATGTTTATGTTGCAATTATGTAATTGCAAAAGCAAATAGCGCAGAGTGTATAAGAGTGTTGGTAGAGACATGAAGAGAAATGAATTCGGATCAGTGAAACCCGAATGAACTTCTTAAACTTTAAAATCGTTTCAATCGTGACTCAGTTATTGACGGCTTTCCTTCTCAGTCTCTCTTTACCTTTCTGTGTGTCTCTCTCTCTCTCTCTCTCTCTCTCTCTCTCTCTCTCTCTCTCTATTAAAGTCGTTAAGCTTTCTTTTTGACCAAACAGCAACTCATGATTTTATAATTTGGTCTGAAAAGACAATGAATGATAATCTTGAACTCAACATCTATTCTGTGACAAGGTCATTTTTGGTGCATAATTCTTGAGCTTCGAAAATGGCACGCAAATCAAATTGCATTCTCACAAACGAAGACTAGTTTACACAGCAGGAATCAATTGTCAACAATTAAACAATCGACAAAAGGGGCATTGTGTTTGGCCTTGTGCAACTGGCCACAATGCGATGGTCGTCATTTGTGGCTCTTTGAGCTCTTTGTAATGCTAGTCCACAGTTACTTCAATTATGAACTCTTCTGTGCAATCAGCTTACTGTCAAATTTCAGTGGTAACCGGTGCAGATATTGAAATTTCATGGACAAATTCAATTGTTTCTAGATAGTCAGATGTGTCCGATGTGTTGAGTGGTGCCTCACTTTGCTACCACAATGTATTGCTGTATGCGTGTAGCCAGATAGCCTGTTAGGACACCTGCAACTTAATCATTACTAATGTGCTGCCGTAACTCATTCGGGACTACCACTGTGCTAAGGCACAGCTGCGAATTCGAGTTGTCTGTTGCCTCATAATTTAGACCACGAAGCATGGCCAGAAGAGTGGGACAAAAACATGAGAAATGATTCCGTTGATACATGTGAACTTCTTCAGCACGGTTGGTTTGGGGTTATCTTATTTGGTAGCCCAATATTGCCAACTCAGTAGGTAATACTACTACAACCACATTTACAAGCACACTGTTAGTGTGTGTGTTCTACAATGTGACAGACTGCTGTGCTTTAAAAAGTGTGTCTCTATTTGCTTTTGACTGGATCATTGCACTTGTGTTGGTGGCGACACAGGTTCTGCCACACAAAATTCTATGTGAAAAATATGCTGCACAAACAAAACACAAACATTTATCTTCAGTTACAGAGATTGCTCTTTATTATTAATAGTTTCAATTATTAATTATTGTTACTGAGGATGGTGATGGATCCAAAATACAATGTATAAGAGAAGGGAAATGAATATACATATATTGCCACATGTAAACAGCTCGTCAACCACTAAAATTCGCTGAAGTATTTCACAAGTGTGAAAATCCCGTAAAACCACCTAACCAAATCGTACAACAATGTCGACAATAACATTAACAATAACAACAACAAGTTGTTAAAGTTGCGAAATACACAAGTTTAATGTGCGAAATATGTCACTTTGAAACAGGGCAGAACGAAAACAGTAAAAGTTGTGACAAGTGAAGCGACATAGTTCATTGGTTAGTGCTAAAAACTTTCAAGTGACAATTCTCTGTGACATTCAGTTAGTTAAAGTATCGTTTGACTGTGATAAGCGAATTGTCATGTTGTAAATACAAGTTTTAGTTGCTACTTAATTGAATTACAGCCAATTTTATCAAAACACAAAAAATGATGTTCCAACACTAAAAACACTTAGCTAGATGCTGATAAGTAACTGTAAAATTGCATATTCGACTCGGATAAAAACAGACAGCCAAACAAAAAACAAAGTTCAACTTTGTCCTTATGATCCTTTCATCCTTTGTTAGGTAGTACACTTTTAAGAAAAATTAAAACTCAATCTCAAACTAAAAGTTACTTCAACTATAACTAAAATATCAAAGAGAAACGCAAAAATAATAAGTTTTAATTAAGTAATAAATCTATACACTTTACTTGACAAACTTTTTTATTTTATTTCAAAATGCAAAGTGCAAGAGCAATAAGCCGAATCGAAATTTTGTATGCTGTGCGAATATATAAACTTTCTTAAATACTCACTCAAATTTAAGAACTATGATTTCTGAAACTAACAAGTTTTTTAAATCTGCATCTAGACTAATTGATAGCTTCCCAATGCAGTTAGATTGCCAGATAAAATGACTTTATTTATGTTGTTCTTTGCATTGCAACGATTGGCGTTTCTGTGTGTGTGTGTGTGTGTTTTTATAGACGTTGCCCATTTGCAAATTAAATTGCGAGGACGCAGTTCGCATACATTTAAAAGTTAACTCATGTCACAGCGGATATTATCATCAGCGGCATTTCTGGATTTTTATAAACAACTGTTCACTTCTCTCTCTCTCTCTCTCTCTCTCTCTCTCTCTCTCTCTCTCTCTCTCTCTCTCTCTCTCTTTCTCTATCTCTCTTGAGACGCCTAGAATTCTGATAACGTGAGCTGCAGCTAATGATTTTTTGCTGGAGGCTGACACTACTGTCCGGCAGTCACTTCAGCTCAGTCGCTCTGTCAACCAAACACAATGTCCCATAAAGCGCTTAAGCACTTAAGTGCAATGTGGACCATCTCAATCCTCTGGGCGAATTCGGGCGAGGAGAAGCAGCAGCTTGTCGCGCACCGAAAACAAAATTCTAGAATTTACAACTCAGTATGCTGGAGTGACCAGAAGATACCCACTAACCGGAGTAGTTTAATTTCATCATATATAAAACCACATTAAGATTCAATTCAAATATACAGTGGCGCTCAAAATATTCTAAAATAAAATATGAATATTTGCAGATAAACTTCTGTCATTTTATAATTGAAATATGTCTTTCGCTGAATATACCCATTGCAATATTTGTATAGTGGGTATTAAAATGACAGCTGTCCACTAAACGGTGACTTGGACTTGACTGCTGAAATTTGCGCGTTTGTATGCAAATGCCAAAAGCTCTGTTCGTTTGTTGGCATTCATCCAGGCATACAAATACACAGTCATATACACACACACACACACTTACACCAACACACAGACACACATTTATGTATTTATCTTTATACATATGTAAGTAATTGCATCTATTGCATAAAACACTCTCGCTTCATTTAACCGTCGCCTTCATAGCTATTATACGATTGAAGCCTCATATGGCACCATTTGAGTTTTTGCTCTCATGCGAAATTGATTTCAAAGTGCCATGACATTTGCATATGCCGCTGAAAACCAAAGCCAGCCAAATGCCACAGGCATTTCTGCAGGTTAGCAACAGAAACAGAAATAGCAATATGCAAAGTAAAGGATCAGCAGGTTGCACATTTTGCGCCACTATGTTTGTCGACAGACAGCTGTGTGGAGTTTAGACTTCAACCTTTTAGTGGATTTTAAGGAAAATTTCATAGAAGCGAATACCGCAGCAAAAAACTGCAAATTTATTCATATATACAAAGCATAAGACATTTAAAGCGAGTGTCGACGGTTTAACTCCCTTGTAGTTGTGTATACAAATAAAAATAAAATCTAAATAAGCATTTACTTTTTAATGTCAATTTTAATGCCTCAGATTGTTGTTGATAAAAGGCTTTAGTACAGACAATTGACAATTGCTTATACAGAGTATAAATGTGTAATGTATCTCTGGTCATTGCTCTGTCAACTATTTACATTTAGTTGGCTATCTAGTCGTTTGTTGTCCCACATTTTTCTTGTGCAATCAGCTATCACATCCCTTTCCCCCTTTGCCATATGGAAATTTAAGCGATTTGTTCAACACGAGCATATGTTTAATGTTGATTTTTCATTTGCTCTGTTTGGCATTGTGCATATGACTAAATAAAGTCGGGCCTCATGCTCCCAAGTGCTTGACACACACATCACAACAACTGGAACAACATCAACAACAACAATAAGAAGAACAAGTACAACAAGTGTAACAGGCGGTGAAACCAGAAAAATGGCAAACCAACCAAATCAAGTGAAACCCTTCATCATGTAAAAACATTTTTCGGGGACCAAACCGAATGCCAAAATCGAAAACCAAAAAAAAATACAGAAAAAAAACAAATACCAGATTTGACATATGAGCAAGAAACGTGCGTAGAACTTTTTGCCTTTTGCCGTTCCCCAACTTGTTTTGTCGGAGCTGCTTGACAACAATGATAGCGACAATGAAGCGCCTGCCACAAGGAGCAGGGGTGGAATGGGACTTAAACGAATCCCTTTCCAATTCCAGCCTGTCACTCGACCTCCCTCTGTGGCCGACTGCCGTGTCGAAAGCGCAATCGTTTCGGCATATTTGTGGGCTTTGCTGTTAGTTTTTTTTCCTCTGGCATTCTTGTTATTGTATTTGTGTGTCTAGGAGAGTCTAAACAAAGCTGAATGAATCTTTAAGCCGAAAAAGCCAGAAATATACGTAATAGGACTTCAACTACTTTTCATTCTGTCTCTTGTCTTTTAAGTAATATGTTGGGCCTTCAATTCCTATGCCTACTCAACAATCAAATTTTATGCGATGTCATCTTATATATTATTAAAGCTGCTCAACTCAATCAGATCAGCTGTCAATGTCAGAATCGATTCATTCGTTTTAGCTTTCCGTCACTCATAAAATATTGAAGTAATATATTTGCTTATGCCTGAAATTCAACAACATTTCACATTTACTTTAAATGTATTGACATTTTTCTGCGACAATTGCAACTGATTTTTCAACTATCCGTGACAAACAATATCATTTAGATTTGCTACTTAAAAATAATAAATAAAAAATAGGTACACATCAAATCAAAGGTATGTATAATGTTAATTATTCGATGTAATTTGTTGTATTTTTTTCAGGTCGTGAAAACCTAGCCAAAGTTCATTAACAAACCTAAATATCCGCAAGGATCCCACATACGCACTGTCGGACAACAGCTCTATTCTATGGTTATAATATGTTACCGCCAAAGATGCATTACCTAAATGCTACCGATGACGCAATTTCACGAAGCCGGGCTGATGAGCAAACCAATGCAGCGGCAGCTGTATTCAAATCTTGGGAGCTTCCTATGCTTCCCAAGCACCCGACCAGACATAAGACGGAGAAGAGTCCAACTGGAAACCGGTTGCCACCCAGCAAGCCAATTACTCCACATACCGTTGGCAAACATTTGAATTTCAACAGTAGCGATTGTGGCAGTAGATTCACTGCAACCAGCAACATCCTGTCAAGCGAATACCCACAAAGCAAAGCAATAGGCGAGAAATCTAATTGGAATAGTCAAGATGCTGATTTCAATGGTTTTCCGGTTGGGCATGTCTCAAACTTACTCTGGGACTATTGCAAGGTGGAGGGTAAGGGTTTGGGGCCCAAACAAAAGTTGGCCAGCCTGCCGCTGGATTCTCAGGAGAATTTAATTCTCAACGATTTAATCTACTGTTTGAGTGGCATACGTGGCGAGTATATTGAGCCGCAGCCGCGGGATCTGCAAGCCAAGGGCATGGACAAGTACAAGACGCACTTCAGCGTAGATAAGGAGCTGGATAAATCGCTGAAGGAAATAGTGCATGAAATCTTGCCGCTGGCCTCACACTTTATGGGCATCCAGAGAGCAGTTGCGGCAACGGAGCAAAGTGGGCAGGTCATCAATGCGCTCAATGCAGAACTGATTCGAATAAGAAAAGATTTCTATGTGCTGTTGGCGCAGGCTGAGGAGCAGCTGTCCGATAAGGAGCTAACGCTTGCGAAGCTTCACTACTATCTGCAACCGACCACTTGGCTTATGGACGACATCTTCATCACCGTGTCGGAGATACAGTTGCAACATCTTCAAGGTGGTGCCGTTCTTTCGCATCTCTGCGCTCGCATCAAGCAGCTAGAGAGTGATCAGAGCACCCGGAATGCGTTCATTGAGCTGGCCAGTAAAGCGGCTGTGCCGTATATGAAGATGCTCAAGCTTTGGATACAAAAGGGCGTTATCGTGGACAGTAAGCGTGAGTTTCTCGTCGAAGACAACAAGAACATACACCTGGCAGAGCTGTCTCCCGACGAATACTGGGAGAAGCGTTACACACTGCGCTCCAAATGTATACCCACATTCCTTGAGATGCAATCGGACAGAATACTGCGCACTGGCAAGTACATTCAGGTGATCCGGCAGTGCGGTAAACAGGTGATGAACACTATGGTATTCAATTTGGAGTTCGATCCAACCAACGACCAGCATGTGCCTGTTATCAATGATGCCTATTTCTTTGCGGCACACACGCTCTATGATGTGCTGATCAATGATCATGATCTAATGGGACATATGCAGTCGATTAAGCGTTATCTGCTACTTAATCAGGGTGACTTCATCATGCAGTTTATGGATGTCTGCGAGGAGGAGCTGTCAAAGAATATAGGAAGTGTGCAACCCTTGAAGCTGGATAATCTATTGGGCCTCTCGCTTAGCCTGTCCTCGGCACGCAGTGATCCCCACAAGAATAATCTGCATTGTGGTTTGCTTCCCTTAGACTATTTCACTCAAATGTCACAGCTCAATAAGCAGGATCAAGAAGAACCCAGTGGCTTCCAGAGCTTTGTCTTTACCTACGAAGTGAACTGGCCCATTTCGCTGGTTATTAATCGCACCGTTATGACCCAATACCAGATGCTCTTCCGCCAGCTCTTTTATTGCAAGCATGTCGAACGCCAACTGTGCAAAAGCTGGAAGGAGTACTCGATGAAAATTACACCACATGAAAGTTGTGTGCTTATGGTGCGTCAGCGCATGATGAACACCATCCAGGATCTGGAGTACTACATGATGGTTGAGATCATTGAGCCCAATTGGAAGATCTTCATTGAGAAGATGAAGAAGATACAGAATCTGGAAATGCTGCTCTCGCTGCAGTCGGATTTTCTCTATCTGTGCCTAAGGGACAATATGCTCGCCGAATCGTCACATTTCAATCGTGCCGTTTTTAAGCTATGTGAGATCTGTCTCAAATTCTGCAAATTCATTCAGTGCGAAAGCAAGCCGGATGAGATGATTGCGTTTGGGGAACAGGTGAAATGCTTTGATGTGGAATTTACAGATACGCTTATAACATTCCTCAAACAAATCAAAAAACTGTCCGGAAATAATATCACCGATCGTTGTATGAACCTCTTACATAGAATCAATTTCAATGGGTTCTATACCGACAAAATCTTAAATGATTATTAACATGTATGCATAAATACCACAATATGTGCATACATATCAATTGTGAGGAAATATTGAAGCATTCAATAAATCAAAATATTTATTTACGATTGCTGTCTGTTTAAAAATCGTTAGCAATGTGAACAGAACATTTCTCTGCTACTATCTCATATCACTTCTCTTGCATTCTCGCCCCATTTTACAGTATGGACTTTGCTCCTGCAAAATTCATAAATGTATTTGCCTGTTCATGCCCACTTTGTGTGTGTTTCGGTGTCGCCCCATGTGGCAGAGGCAAATATTTATATTTGTTTGAAATGTGTTGGCGTTGGTGCTGCCGCCAATGCACCCCGCCTTTCCCATTTTCCCAGTGTTTTTGATTGTGTCGTTTTGTGTTGCCTCTGCTTTTGTGGTTTGTATATCGTTGCCACGAAACAAAAAACATCGTGTAATGAAACACATGAATTGAAAATTCAATTTCATAAAAGGCATTTATGGAGCATCATTTATTGCAGTGAAAAAATACAGAGCCATAGAAAAAATTGTGTAAAATATTTAATAACCCATTGAAAACTTTAGGAATTATGTAGATAAAAAGATTAAAGTAACAACAATTTAATTGTGACATTGTAGTTACTAACTTTACGGATTATAAAACGAAAATTTATTGAAAGCCCAATTGAACACTTGAATAATGACGGCAACAAAGTCTTGTCCAATCTTATCATAACTTTTGGTGTTGCATAAGCAAAGCGACAGGTGAGATGACAAACAAGATTGAATGATTACCAAGTATTGATTAACTGAAGTGGGCCAAGGATCTGTTTATATACAAGTATGTCTGTATGTATGCCTGGGCATATATAATGTATAAGTAAACGAGCAATCACAGGGAGGCAAGAAATTTGTGCAAATATTTGACAACCTTAATTTGGAACGGTTTCTTAATACTGCGCACACAGCATGAATATTATTATTACTTCTAGAATGTAATAAACCTTGCCTTGTAGGTCTGGCAAAGTACTTCAAACCGATTTTGTTATATTTAAACATAAGCCCTAAATTCCAGTTCATTACATTTATGATTATTATTAAATGAGTAAAAGAAGCAGACTTGGCAGATAAAACAATAATAATAACTTTTGTCTCCACTTGCGGGTCAAATTTTTCTGATACCCGTCTTAGCGTTTAATCTTGAGAGAAAGACTCCAATAAATTTTGAGCTGCACGTTGACCACAAATCACCAATCTGTCAGTAAGTCAGGACAAACTGAACTGTATATTGATTTTATTTTCATTTTACTTATATGTTTTCTTTCGATTAACGAAGTTTTCATTCAAATCTGATTGTAATCACAACAATGTTTAAAATAGAAACGCATTGGATTATTTCACTTACTTTATCGACCATTGGCAAAATATGAAGTCAAAACTGTATAAATAATTTGTTGCCTGGCTAGCTATATAATAGCCATTGTTGCTTTCCTTTGCTTGTGGTCTGCTATTTTTTCTCACTCTTATACCATTTAACGCTTCAATAATTTATATTTCACTTTTACAAATTGGCATTTCAATGTGAAGCTGACAAAATAGAGAAAGTATGTTAGTTTAAATAGCTGTGTCCTGATGATGGATACCCTATACTCATATACTCATATGCACATATTTATTATATTAATATATATAATATATTAATATATAGTATATACCTACTTAATTTTTCTATAACAGGTTATTCGAACTTGCAAACGACGCAGTTTTCGGGTGTTTAAAAAGAATTGCCTACTTTTGTGCGCATAATTACTTTTACTGCTCAAACTTGGAGAAAGTCGAGAAATTGCTTGAAAGTAAGGGGGATACTAGACTTATTTTATACTGAAATTTAAAACCAATTTGTTTGAGTTTCCTTTTTGCCGATGCCGTCAGTCTTTTTGTGCTAATTAAGCCAAGCAACCAAAAAGAAAAATGTATTTTAAAAGCGCTTCCCAAAAAAAAAACCGTTTGGCGCTGGAAAAGTATTGTCAATGCCAAAGTTTTCATCGACCCAACTCAGGGTCCCAACAATTCCCCGACACCTAAATATGCTTCCTGTTGCGTCTCGTTTGAAGTTGTCTGCTATTTGCTTCGTTCAATTTTCTGCCAGCTTAAATGCAAATAAATCAAGCGCTTAGCGCTAGCTAGAAGCCATTCCCTTATTCTGTCCCCTTGCCCAACACTTTGACCATCTTATTAATTACTCACAAAATCTTATTAACGATCGTGTAGCGCAGTATTAATGACTACAAAGTGAGTCCTTAAAGCCAAAGCTGCAATATTAAAGTAAAAGTCTATTCCAAATGAATGCATATATAAAAACTAATCAGCAAAAAAAAAAAAAAATTAATTTCACAACTATTTCATTAAAAAGTTTTGTTACAAATTTTAATTAAAATGTTGCCTTCTTTTTTTTTCTTCCTCAGCAAAAGGCAGCGGCTTTTGTAAAATAGCATTAATCACAATTAAAAGTTATACAAATTGTATATTGAAGACATTGAAGTGCTTTAGTGCTTAATTAGTTTAAATCAATTTAATTTCAATGTTGGTGTTTCATGGAAAAAACTTCAACAATTTTTAAATTTGATTATATTATAATAGTCTAGTTATAATAAAATAAAAAACATATTAGATATTCAAAGTTCATGTGTATACACTTAAAAAAAAAGTGAAAAATTTAAACAACCAATTAAGATAATTAAAAACCTATGAGGGTTTGTAGTTGCTGCATTCAAAAAGAAACACTCTAGAAAAAAGCCATTTTTAAGTGCCCCAATACAGATGAGTAGAATGCACTTGCATTCATTTCATGCACAGATGAATTGCAGGTGCACTTATTAATTTGTTTGTCCCACCATCGTTTGTATGTTATAAAAAAAAACTGATGAACTATTCATTGTTGTGCTGACATAGATAAAATATTTGTATATTTTTCATGAGTCAGTCGAAAAATGTTAAAAACTGTAAATGTACGCAAAATATTGGGGATCAAGTCACATATAGAAATATGATATAGAGATGTGCGTAGTTGTGTGAGAGTGGTTTGTCATTAAGATAAAGCGATGTCTGCATTTTGTATGCAATAAGTACAGGATGTGCATCCTGTACAGGTTATGGCAGGGTTGATGGCATTTTGGCTCAAAGCCCTAACGCTTGGCAACAAGCACGTTGTGCAGTTTCCCGAAATTTGACCATTAAACTAAATGATGCAGATACCAACTGTAGAGGCTCGTTTCAAGTGGCGTCCCGATGTGTTGGGATATCATTGGGTTTGCTGGTGACAGATTAAGTGTTGGCATTCATAACGAAAGGTTTCTAAAATTAGTTAGATACAAATTTGTAATTAGTTTTATGTTACATGTGCTCAGGACACCATTGATCTGAATAGGTCGCAAAGCTGTTTTTGTTGTACAATCTTACACTTCCTGTAACCATACTCATTATTATTTATACTAGTAAGCTGAGATGGCATCTCTTGAATTGGCAGCAATTTTCTAACTAAGCCAGTGTCTAATACCCACACTCTTAAAATGTATGCCTTAATATTTAGTTGTTAGCCAGCCTCAAAACAGAATCGAGAACGCAATTTCAACAACATAAACGCAAGTGAAGTGACTCCCAAACACTCAAGCGACATTCACTAATTAAACTTAAAAACCCACAAAAGCGCATAATGCTCATTAGCGGCGAGATACCACTCATAGACATGATGGCTTCATTTCAGCAAGGATTATGGTCTGTAGGATGTGGCTGGTATTATCTTATGCTCTGTAACCAGCAGCGCGATGAGTGGACGGTGGCTGTATCTCTCTGAAAATATGAAGAACACTTAAGCTTTCTCTTTTATTTCTTAAAGTACACACAAATATGTTAAGTGTTCCTGCCGGACTTGCACAATTAGACAAATTCAAATATTAAACTAAATTCAAGTTTAGTTTTTAAAATGATCTGTCAACTCTCAATACTAACAATCTGTCTAAAGGGTATATTTGAGTCGCGCCTGTTTCTGGATAGTGCTTGTTACTGCTGTTGCTCTTGGGTTGCACAAAGCAAACAGGCTCCGCTGTTTGTCATATCACCGCTAATATAGCCAAGCCGGTGGCTGTGGCTTAGCAATTGTGTGTGCTCAATTCCATGGGTCATGTGTGTAAGTGTGATTGTCGAATGTCAAATGCCAACACAGACTGTCAGCTTGAACTTAATTGCCAGGCGAACACGAAAGCACGAGCACAGTTTTCAATATCGGATGAGACATCGAAATAATATTGCGCAAATTCCAATTACATATTCATGAAGCACAACATATGTGCATATGCATATGATGTGGACTTATTTCAGCATTTGCCTAATTGGAGTTAATCTAAAAAGCGCATTACATCGAATGCCATTGACGACTGCAGCCAGTGGCAAACCACTTTTTGACTTAAGTATGTAATATTCTTATTAGGGCTAAGCGGCTTAAATGCTTGTAAAATATGGAAGAACATTATTTAACTTCTAGAGATGTGGGTGTGTGTGATTTTAGCTTAGAAGTCCCAAGAGCAGGCCTCAGGCAACTAAGTGCCTTACGCAGGCAAAGATTAAACACAATTATATAATGTATAACAAATTATACAAGCTGTTTACAATACTCGAGTTTAAGTAAGCTATGCCAAGAGTATTGACTGCAGGCAAACTTGTTGAGAGACTGGCGGCAGTTTCATGTCTCTTGTGCAATCAAATTGTAATTTATTTCGTGTCCTTATTTAGCTTTTAATTTATGACACACACACACACGAACCAAGCTGAATGAATGGTCCATGTGTCTTTAATACTCACTGACAGTTTTACACGACTCACCCTTTGCTGGCCAGCGATAAAAGCCACATTTATAACCAACCGAACAAAGACAGAGATAAACACAAACACAAAGACAAAGACAAAAGCCCCCGGTAGCTGGCAAAACTGGACCAAATGCTGTTCATTGGCGTTGCTGTTCGCCGCCATTTTTTCAATTTCCACTAATTTATGTCAATTTATTTATTT